TCTCTGGCGTAGGCGTGACATCCGGCTATCAACCAAGGGACGTGTGTACTGCTCAGCAGTTCGCTCCGTCCTTCTCTATGGCTCTGAAACATGGCCAATACGAGTTGAAGACATGAAAAGGTTGACTGTTTTTGATCATAGATGTCTACGATCTCTTTCTCACGTTAGGTGGTATAATAAGGTAAGTAATGTTGACGTTAGGCGTAGAGTGTTGGGCAAAGAGGGAAAATCAATCGAAGAGGCTATAAAGTTACATAGATTGAGATGGCTAGGTGACGTGCTGCGCATGCCTAACCATCGCCTCCCTCCCCCGACGGACGGGCATTACTAGCTGATATAGGTGTTGTGGGTTGGAAAAGAGTAAGTGGTGGCCAAACAAAAACATGGCCTCATCAATCCATGAAATCCTTGACAGTTAAACTGAGTCAGGTAGGGAGATGCAGACTTCCTGCTGGTTGGGGCCCGCCCTCGGGACTCTAAGAATCAATGGCTGGAGACAATAGGTGACATGGCTGAAAATCGTTGTCAATGGCTAGCGCAGATGTATTCAGTCTCTGTAATCTTTCATATTCCTTTCTACCATTACTCATTCTGTTTCACTCTTATACTTGTCAAAACTCTATTGATTCTCTTCACTCATCTTCTTGTCTACCTTTGTGTGGTATTTGGAACGTGGCAACTCGAAGTGCTGCACTTTGGTGCCAAGTTCTATGTTGAATCCAGACAGACAGTCAGTTAGTCAGTAATCAAATTTACTAAACATTAAATTATATTATAATATTGTGAATGAATTATTTGTAGGACTTTTTGCATATTTTCTGATACAATTACTTTAAATAACTTGGAAAATAAAAATAAACATGTGAAACTTAAAAAAAATAGGTTTTACTATTCTATTCTCCTGCTAGGTTTTATTTAGTAAATAAAATCAATCACATTTAGAAGTTAAAAAAGATAATATATGCACATAACATCTACTCCAATCTCTTCATTGGATTTTTGAAAAAAAATATATTTTACTGTATTACTTGGTTCCGCTCATTTCACAATCAACTGCATTCTTTAAGTAGTGTATAAACACGTTAAATCTTATCATCCTTTATCGTGCTTCTAATTATTATAAAAATCATAAATAGGTATGCATGCATTTTGGATAATTAGACTAGAGTAACTGTGATATGTATTCTTCAGACTATTGATCTTTGTTTTTTCAAGAAAACTGTTTCACAGACAAATATATATATACACGCACGGTGGTTCTTAATTCAAAGCTAAATTCTGAGACTTCTTGACCGACAATCTGTTTCGTTTCGTTTCGCTTGGTTTTTTTTTGGTTTCATAATATGCAAGATTTTGAAAAAAACACACAACTTATCAGTTCATGGCACACCATTAATCTGACGTGTTTTCTTATTTACCAGTTTAAGCTGAACAGAGGGATTTATATATATATTTTTTTACAACACTTAAATTGTTGAGTAAGTTGTTTGGATTGACTGACAAGACTTTGTTTATTGATGGGGCGTAGTTGTGGCTTAGCAACCTATTCAATCGATGTAATGAGTGATTATTAATGGTGACATGAAAATCTGGACTACGGCAGGTTTGGAACCCCTCAGTGGCGTGTGTACTACTACTGTGGTGAGAACTGTCTGCTAGCCAAAATTGGTAGGCAGCAATTTACGTCAATGTTTACGTCCCAAATCTAGGTCATGAGAAAGAAACAAGAACAAAGCCTGACCTTGAGGAACTCAACAACCAATCACAGCAGACTTAGCGTGGGCGGATACGATTCACAGATATCTATATCAACGGACTGTCTAAGAAACGGCAACAAAGAGACGACAGAATAACCTTCAGCAGGAAAACAACCAATCAGAAGAGGTTGCTTCTCTGCTAACAATAACGCTAATAATAATGTACATAAAAATCTATGAATATCTGCTGATTTTCTCAATAAACGATCTGTTGCCTGACCCTTGTCTTCTGTCGTTACACTACTACTCCGGATCTAGCCGGAGTTAAAAGTAGCATAGCCAAAGCCAAGGTCTTTCAAAAGTTGACCTTCAGGAACCGATCAGATATAGGGAATGCTATGAAATATCATTCCAAATTAAGTCATGCCTGGCTTTTTAGGCTTGGAGAGGATAGATGCAGTATTCTGCTTATTTGCTTGGTACTTTTTCTGCAAATGTATACTGTTAGGTAGGGTTATGCCTTTTAAGATTAAGCTTTACGGTCTAGGATTAAGGTTAGGTTTAGGAGTTGAAGTTAGAATTAGTGTAACGACAGAAGACAAGGGCCAGGCAACAGATCGTTTATTGAGAAAATCAACAGATATTTATAGATTTTTATGTACATTATTATTAGCGTTATTGTTAGCAGAGAAGCAACCTCTTCTGATTGGTTGTTTTCTCGCTGAAGGTTATTCTGTCATCTCTTTGTGGCCATTTCTTTGAAGGTCAGACCACATATCTGCGAATCGTATCCGCCCATGCTAAGTCTGCTGTGATTGGTTGTTGAGTTCCTCAGGGTCAGCCTTTGTTCTTGTTTTTTTCTCATGACCTCGATTTGAAACGTAAACATTGACGTAAATTGCTGTCTACCAATTTTGGCTAGCAGATAGTTCTCACCACATTAGGAGTTAGGATTATAGTTAGTGTTAGGAGTAGGTTGAAGAATAGTGTCAGAAATATCAATGCATTGCAAAGTACCATGGCCTACAGTCACCTGGATGAATGCATATATCGCGCATGGTACAATTTCTCTATAGATCATCTGTGTATTGACTGGGAGACATTCTTACAACACATAAGCGACAAATATATATAGTGTAATATCATGTTTGCAATATTCTTTTTAAGTGTATTTTTCAGCGATTATGCGACTCTTTTTCCATCTGAATTCTGATTGGCTGTTTGGGGTTACTGTGATTTTGGCTGTGATGCTTTAACTTTGTCCGGAGCTATATTAGTGTCTCATAGCTCATTTGATAAAGTGTTGGACTGCATAGTTCACATATCTTTGCATAAGTTTTTCTTGTCTAAGGAGTCATTCATTAGTGGAAGTGTTTCTCATGTTTGAAGAGATCTAAAGAAAATTATTAAACCACAAAGTAGTTTTAAAAGGTACAGCTAGAAAGCCGTGTTACTTTCTTTCCTGTCAACACTTGAACCCACAGATCATCAGAGCCTTGTCACACTTGGTAAAGTTTTTATTATTTTATTCCTTTGCATCCCGAGTGGAACTTAAGGCTCCAAGCTTGAGCTTTGAAGTTGCGGTAACAGGGTTGTTTTTTTTAACGGATTGGGGTCGCTAGCCTCACGCGCCACCTTCCCTCTTTGTTGGGCTTATAACTGGCCAAGGGAGGTAGAGGTGTGCGCCGGTTGGCGAGTATTCTATCACTGAACCACTGACGCGCATACCTAACAAGGTTGTTGCCAACTAATTCTCATTCTATAGGTGGAGACGCGTAGCTCACTAACCTACAGCCAGTGGGTCACGGATTCAATTCCTGCTCCACCTACTTCAGCCTTGGCAACTGAGTTGTATCATCAGTCGTCACATAATGAGTGTGTGTCTCGCAGCCTCGAACATGACCGAAGTGTTCTATGAATTCGGTTCAAACAAACAAATATCCTGATGTTAGATAGTTGCAGGCAGTCGGCAGGAAGCCTTGGACCTAGGTTTCGTGCTAGTTGGCACTCATCAGCAAGGCGTATCTTCAACCTTGAAGGAATTCATGTCCCTTCTGAGATTCGAACCTGCGTCACCCAGTGCTACCTGCAGTCAGAGACGTTACCACTGAGCTATTCGGGCTCGCGATTGACCTCCTGTAGGACTGTAGTGGGTATTTTGATTGGATACTAGTAACTAGTGTGAAGTGTCTAGTCCTTTCTTTGGTGCAGACTGAATTCTATCAGTCAGGTTTTGCAATGTGGCCACCATTCTAGGTAGCTCGCCGTCACGGTGCACATTGATTTGATGATATTAGATAGTTGGAGGCAATCGGCCTAGTAACTAGTAACTAGTGTCCAATCAAAACAAACATCCTATTAAGTTTGACCAAATTTCCTTATTCATTAATTTTTTATTTTCAAGCTTTGTTTTTTTCGGCGATGTGATTGATTTCAAGGTGGGTCACTAACTGACATCAGTTAGAGAATCATTGAAAACCATGAACTTTGTACAGTCACTTCATCCCGGTTTGGTACTCTTCAGCGGAATGCCTTTTATAGCCGCAACCGCCGTTTAGCCAAGGACTTTACGATTACTCAGCCAGCGATCCTGTTGACCATTCAATCACTGGGTCGATATTAATTAGCCTATGATTTCCAACTTCACTAGTCAGTGACATCTTCGAGTCTTGAACTTGTAGTAAGTAAGACATCTGTCCAGCACACACTCTTTGATTTTCAGCATTTGCATAATTTATGTCACTTTGTGACTCAATCAATACTCAAGATCAGATGGCCGGCCAGAAAAGATCAGCAACAGGGATCTCTGGCAATGAGCGAACCAACCCAGCAGGAAGAAATGGAGGTGGATTGGAGGCCATAGTCTGAGGAAACCATCAAGTGACATCACACGCCAGACCATCACTTGAGTGGAACCCGAATGGGAAGTGGCGAGTTAGTTGGCCGTCAGTGGTAGGGTGGGGTGACATGGAGGAGGAGATGATGTGAAGAGTAGAAGAGGAAAGCATGTGGGCAGACGTGGAGCCAGGTGAAAACGTTAGCAGAGAACCGGAGGCATTGGAGGCATCCACGGCTGAAGCCCTATGTTCCTCTAGGAACTAAAGAAAACAATAAATAATAATAATAATAATAATTGTGATTCAAACTTCAAACCAATCTGCTACTGTATCATCATTCACAGTTTTCAGTTTTTGTTATTTTTTTATCCTCTGTGTTCCATTATAACTATAATCAAAAGGAATCTAGGAGTATATTGATGTGATCTCGCCTACCTTTATTTCCCCCCTTTTTTTCTTATATTAGTATATTTGGCTCCCCTCTCTGTCCTCGAATCAGTGATGTGCCTATGCTTGAACCGCTTGTATGCACACGAATCTTAAAAGATCGTGTAACTGATCTTGTTTTTCGACGAGATACAATCCATATAGTTGATCAACAGGGATTATTTTTAGCCTGGCAAAGACCTGTAAGTAATTAATATATTACTTATAAATCTTTTTATTTTTCAGTAGTATTGTGTGTTTAACTTTTAAGAAATTGTACACACTGAAATGGATGAAAAACTTTGACCAGCACAGACTGGATTCAGGAGGAACAAGTCATGCATCGATCAAATTGCAACACTACGGATCATGGCAGTGAGCTCTCTATCTCAACTTCGTTGACTTTGAAAATGCCTTCGACAGTGTCGATCGAGAGGTGATTTGGCAACTACTACGCTACTACCAAAGGGTACCGCCAACAATCATACATCTCATCCAACAGCTGTACGACAATGCTGCATGCCAAGTAATCCACAACGGGCAGTAGACTGGATAATGTGACAGACAGACAGCGGGAAGCGAGGAAACAGGCATAAAATGGACCCACACAAAAAACTTGGAGGATCTGGACTTCGCCGATGATATATGTCTGATTTCCTAGAAACTGGAAGATATGCAAGTGAAAAGCAACAAGTTGGCAGAAGAAGCATCCAGAGAAGATAGGACTTCAGGTGAACATGGAGAAAACAGATAGGTGATGAAGATTCCTGGCCAACAGCCACAGCGACAACAACGACAACAGACAACAATCAGCATGAATGGGAGAAATTTGAAAGAAGCAACCTCCTTTACGTACCTTCATAGCTGGGAAGCATCGTCTCAACTACAGGTGGACGGAACTGATGAGGATATCAAAGCAGCGAGGATCGGGAAAGCAAGGCAAGCTTTCATTACTCTCGAGTCTGTGTGGAGGTCAACACTCAGCACTCAGCATGAAAAATAAGATACGGATTTTCAACTCCAATGTGAAGTCAGTGCTACTTACTATACGGATCAGAGACTTGGCGCGTCATGAAGAGCACCTCAAACAAACTACAGACCTTCATCAACAGCTGTCTTCGCTCAGTACTACTGAAGATTAGATGGCCGGCCAGAAAATATCAGCAACAGGGATCTCTGGCAATGAGCGAACCAACCAGGAACCGATTGTGAAACAAATATGCAGGAAGAAATGGAGATGGATTGGCTGGCCATACTCTGAGGAAACCATCAAGTGACATCACACTAGACAAGCCATTGCTCGAGTGGAACCCGAAAGGGAAGCGGCGAGTTAGTTGGTGGTCAGTGCAAGGGTGACTTGGAGGAGGTCATGTGAAGAGGAGATGAAAGCGTGTGGGCAGACTTGGAGCCAGGTGAAGACTCTAGCAGAGAACCGAACGCAATGGAGACGTGAGCGGCTGAAGCCCTATGTTCCTCTAGGAATTAAAGGAAACTATATATATATATATATATATATATATATATATATATATATATATATATATATAAGGGAAAAAACAATGATTTTTGTAATTTGTATTTTATATTTTATTTATATCAATTAAAATTTTTCATTTAATAGATTGGAGTGAAAGAGAATGCTACTGCTACCACTACTGCTGCTACTACTACTACTAATAATAATAACAATAATAGTAATAGTAATAATAGTCAAATACCTGGATGTCATTCTTCAACTGCCAATGATTGGAGTTCATCATCGACCTCATCTATACATAATAGAACATTTTAAACAATTCCAATCAATAAAAATAAATGAATACATCAATTAATTAATTAATTAATCAATTAATCAATTAATGATATTACTTGATAAATCATTGAAATAATTAATTTCCTGTGAATACTGTGATAATCTATATTACGCACTATATATACATACACACATACATACATTTGTTCATTCATTCATTGACCCTTGGATATCTATTACAAGTGAATGCTGATTATCTATCACCTTTCTTGTTTTCGTCGACGATACAAATTAACGCAACAATTACAAATGGCAAAGAGGCATAGAAACCAGAACGACAAATAAGAGAGAGAGATTTGTTTTCCTGTCATGATGTTTATTTTCTTTTCCTCTTTTTTTGATTGTTTGTTTTTTATAAGCAGTGGATTGTGGCTGCGTGTGTTTGTGTTTGTGTGTGAGTGAGTGAATAAGCTCAATTTCTCCCTTGGTTTCACATCACCTATCCCATTGTGTTGTCAAGATCAACAATGAATTAATGATGCAATAATTGATTGCATTGAGAGAGAGAGAGAAGCGCATAAAAGAAAACTTTTCTCTCATTATCCGGTGTCTTCATTCCTTATTTATATACATACATACATACAAACATGTTTACTTACATACGTACACGCATGCACATACACGCACACGTGAATATTACAGATTTTGTTTTGTGTACAGTTTGGCTCGGCTCGGGTATGAACTACTGTTACGCTACTGTTACGCCATATGCTCAAATTCTTTTTTCTGCGAGAGAAGGTGGTTTACCCTCACGCCCACCCCCCTCATTATTTCCCGCTTGTGTGTGCGTGTGCGTGCGTGTCTGTGTATATCTGTGTTGCACAATGTGCTATGACACAAGCTCTGCTTATTTTCCTACCCCCCACCTTTGTATTTACCTTTGTCTTTACAGCCTTTCTCTTTTCTCTCGTGTACATTTGATTCACAATGTAATCTTTTGTATGTATGTATGTAGGTGTGTGTGTGTGTGCGTGTATTTATTACCGTGGATACTGGCATTTCGAGACAATAACAATAACTAAGATTTGTTTATTTGTTCGGTTTGTGCTTGTTTTTCTTTTTTTGAGTACTATTCCGAATTATCATCATTGTCATTAATATTATTATAATGAGTATTTTCATCATTTTGTGTGTGTGTATGTGCGTGTATCTATGTTATCTATCTGATTATCTGTAAAAAATTCGCCCCTTACGCCGCCCCCTCGCCCCCCCCCCCCTCCGCGCCGTAATATCCTATCGATTGATTGCTTTCTTTCTTTCTTATCGTTGACATTGAATTAATTGATTTATCTCTTGCCTCGTGTTGTTTTCCGCCCTATATCTCCGTCTCCTTATTTGTACACACACATACACACGCACATGCACGTCTGTTCGACTGTCAATCCGATCTAATATTACATCATTTCTCAGAGGGATTAAATCTAAAAAATGCATGTGTAGTAGTATAGTAGTAGTGTACACATTCCTTCTTGGATTGGGCGTGCGGTTGACTATTTTCTCATTCTCTTGCCTATAATGTTTCAAATTTATCTAAAAATAAACGCAGAGATCTGTATTACCTATCTATCTATCTATATATATACACATATACATCTAATATTTTTCCAGTGTTACTCTTTGAGTAATTAATATACCAAGCGAGAAAGCGAGAGTGAGAGAGGAAAAAAGGATATTTTCTGTTGTTCAGCTAGCTCGCTGAGCAGCTTTATATATATTTCTTCTTAGTTCACCTTTCCAACTTACACACACATACACACACCGTGCAATCTTGATGCTTTCATCACAAGCTGTTGTTTTTTCCCCTATATGGCTGCTATTTTTTGAGTAACACACGTGTATATTTCACATGGCGTATACCTTTCTCTCTTTCTATGTTTCTTCCACGGAAATATACAGACAAACATGCGTCTTATTACAGAAAAGTACTCGACATTGCGACAATATCTAGCGAATCTTGTTAACACTGATTTCACACGTACACACGTACACACACTTCACACCTCTTTGTTGGACTGACCCCAGCACATATATATATATCTTTCTTTTCCTGTAAACATTTTTTTCTGTAGACGAATTATGTCTTCATAGTGTGTGTGTGATCTGATCTGATCGCTGATCGTTCCTTTCCCCCTCCCCTCCACCTTCTTCTTCAGTGGATAATCAAGTTTTCTTAAACATAAAATCTTGGAAAGCATAATTCCAATTATAATTTTCAATTGTGTGATTGGTTTGTTGGTGGTGTTTGTTTGTTTCTTTTTGCTATTGTCTAGAATTTCCCTGTTTCCTCCCGTATATTGACAATACTCGACATATTTTGTATAATAATAATGATAATTTCTATTTCACTTCCTCGCCACTTCTTCTTTGTGATCATCGTTTCAGTTGTTTGTTTCTCTTCTACTTCTTCTTCGTCTTCTTGATCCATTGTTTAAAAAGACACGAGTTTATGATATACAGATGTATGTAGACGACTTTTGGTACATCTTGTGTGTGATTGAGTCCTGGCCATTGAGAGCGGAAGACATGAAAAGCCTGGCTAGCTAGCTGTCTTTGATCATAGGTGTCTGCGTTCTATCTCCCGTGTGAAGTGGTATAAGAAGGTGAGCAATATTGAGGTTAGACAACAGTCGAGTGCTAGGTAAGGAGGGGAAATCAATTGAAAAGGCTGTGAAGCTACATCGACTGAGATGGTTAGGACATGTGTTATGTATACCTAGTCATCGCCTTCCTCGACGGGCAATGTTAGCTGATATAGAGTCAGGCTGGAAAAGAGGTAGCGGCGGTCAAACCGAAACATGGTACCAATCAGTGAAACCCACAACAGTTAGTTAAAGCCAGTCACGTAGGAAGGTGTAGACTTTGTGGCTGGTCGGGGTCCTCGGGACGGTAAAAACCAATGGTTGGAAACAATTGCCGACATGGCTCAAAGTCATCGTTCTCAATGACAGCGCAGATGCATCCACTCCTTGTGACTTGTGGCTTCCAATGAAACTGTTTTGTTCTTCGTTATTACTATTCTTTTGTCTCACACCTCTGTTTACTGTCTCTAATGTGCATTTGTCCTACTTTCTTCTCTTGCTTTGTGTGCTACAAGGAAGGAGTGTGGGGACTTGAACTGGTGCACATATGTGCAAAGTTCTATGTCGAAAACAGACAGACAGATTGAGTTCAGGAGATCATCAGTTCAGTGGAGTAAGAGTGGACCTGAAGACGTTTGACTGATTGATTGCTTGATTCATTCATTCACTTAAGTCTGAATGATGATAAACATTGTATTATATAACCCTGTGGCTGAGCTGTTGTCTCTCTAGGCGAATAATATTAGCTGAAATATGATTAAGTTAAGCGGGGGTGGGGTGGGTGTTTCACCAACCCGTAGAGGTTATGTGCTTGGAGTGGAGTGAAGTCTTCGGAATGCTACGAATTATTGGTTGTAGTCTTTTGTTCACATATGGCATAATATCGTCTGAAACGGCACGGATGTACTTACTTATTTGTATGGCTCCCATATACGACCGAAAGAGTGGGTAGACTCACGTCCTTCATAACCTGTGATACGCAATTCTTATTCACTATGTTCACGCGACGCTTGTTGGAAGGTGAATGCGAACTTTTGGTGCTTACAGCCGGACTGATGAATATGCAGCAACTCTACTTTGGGGGATCTAAAAAGCCCTGATTCCGAAAGGATCGAAACTTGTATGAACTTGTTTCGGTCACTGGCAACTATGGACACGCTGCTCCGCTGACTCTTGGAAGTGTGTGTGTGCGGTTGTTACTTCCCGGCTGCCTCCACACGTTGGAAGTTGGTTGATTCTTTGATTACCTGAAACGAAGAGTCTTAGTGTTGCGCGACCTCAGAGCCCCGGGGACAACTACTTGAGGTCGGTCACACACGGCCTGTATGAACTGATTTCTGGGATTGCTTCCGTATTAGTATACTTACCGCAAGTTACGCACCACCATAGATGCGGGTAAGTCGTGATTCACAGTTGTTGGGGTCGACCTTCCCTAACCCCCTCTCTTCAGAGTGGAGGGACAGTATAGCTGGCTGGCATGCTGTCTACTAATTTTGGCTAGCAGACAGCTCTCACCACAGTATGGGCACCGATATACTCAACCACTTCTTCCAGTTGAGGATATGTGATTACTTCTGTTCGTCAGTTGTATACATTTCGCTAAATTTTTTTCTGATTCAGACTACAGAGTTAATTACAACAACAGTTTGAAGTTATGTATGTTCAAAACCAAGTTCACTTTTAACAGTTTGAAAAAATTTGCGGGAGCTCCCGGCTCGTTGCCCCCAACCACCAGACACAGTGGTGCAGACTTATTTACAGATGTAGTACAGTTATTTTGTGTAGATATTCCCCTGAGTAACACGTACAAACTAACTTACAGATACATGAATCAGTCAACCATAAGTAAAAGAAAAAACTTTAACGTTGGTTGGGATTTCCTTAAAGTCGCTAGTCACACGGTGAAGCTCATAAACTTAATGAAATTTAGAGTAAGCAAAGATGTAAGCGTCTAAAGTGACATACACATATTTATTTCCACCTTTAATACCAGTGCGTGTGACTTAATATTCATTATCAGCAAGACCTGTCTGTACAACTGTATTAGGAAGTACAGTTCCTGGTTAATTTTTCGAGGTTCATGATCTAAGTGTGGAATTTGGGCACAGTGGTGGCAGAATGTAATTCCATAATAGGTCAGTTTATTTTAAATATTACACGGCGATGATGCACTTTTGGCCAAGTTAAACTTAAAGCACCACTAACTACCAATGGAGCGTGACCACACCAATGACCTTGAAACGCTCACTGACCAAGTTAGCGAAACCTGGCAAATAATGCTGTCATCATCAATAAAATATGCCCATCGAAGTTCTATGTTATTAAATGGGATATATCTGGAAAGTTTTAGCTTAGGTTTGGGAAAGATTACGTTTTGCGTTAAGCCAAGGACAAGTTAGGGTTAGGTTGACCTTATAAAGACGACATTAGGGTTGGTTCGAGTTAGATTACAGCTAGTTTAGGGATATTTTCACGCTAGGGTTAGGTTCAGGAGAGATTAGAGTTATTGTTAGGATTAGAAGACCTAAATTACATGCATAGAATATGGTTAAATTACTCTGTTAATATAAGAATAGAACTTGTGCACTATGGTAGAAGTATAATACCATTGTGGGTAAAACTTATTTTGATAAAGTCTCACATGTTGCTACACAGTAATATTTACTGATGACCACGTTTCGAGCACAATTTATTGCTCAGGAAATATTACTGTATTACACTACTAGACTTTATCAAAATAAATTTTACCCACAATGGAATTATACTCTGTTGATACACCAACCTAAAACTGAGAGCTATTTTTATCACATGTGAGAGGAAGCTATCCTCTCTAACACTTTTCCAGTTTTTATGCCTTATTTCATAAATATGTCTATTCCATACACAAAAATGCCTCCTTCACGTGATTGGTGCGTTCAAGGTTATTCGCTGATTGGTGCTTAAAGTTTAACTTTGCCGCACTATTGACAACTGGATGACGTTTCAAGCATGAATTATTGCCACTCATAACAGTATCAGTTTAAAACAAATGATTCAGCGAAGAGACTCTTTTCAACGAATTTATCACCAAGCTGTACAATCGTATATATATGGTTTTTAAGAAGTTATATCCGGTGAGGGAATCGAAACATAGGTGTGAATGCATAAAATATAATAATAATAATATGAAATGCAATTAAAACTAAAATGTTTGTGATTATAGTCGTAGTTAAATGTCAAGTGGCAAAGCAAATTAATGTCATATATAGAATAACTCATAGGATGGATAGAACTTGAAAAAGGTGTGCAATTATAAGATTAGATTAGTAGACAAATCGAATAAAATAAAAATGTTACGTAATATTGTGTGAAATTTAATAGCAAAGAATTTATTGTTGCATAAAGGAACTGATTTAGAATGACAAGTGGAACAAGTGAAATAATACCGGGGACAATTAAAAGTGAGAGTAGTAATAGTAACAATTGACTTAATAAGGAAGAGTATACAAATTGAATAGACAAAAAAATGAAAAATTGGTAGAGCTAAAATATGATTGGGGATTACAATACTTTAGCATGGAGGGATTAAGACCATGAAAGTTGGAGGGGTTGAATGAACTTTTTCTGTACACAGAGATCTGGCTTTTCTGTTTCGATAGCCAAAGATGGCTTCAGCAATACAGATGAGTCGGGTACGTAGTGATTTGGGTAAATTACTCTTTGCCTTGTAGATGACTTTAAAGGCGGAGGCTATAGAGATAGGGTGATCATTATCGACCAGGTGTTCAATGATCGCGCTCCTTATTGCTCCACTTCCACCTTTTCGTAACCATGCAGGACAGTGTTCTTGCACCCTCTTGGACAAAACTCATGTCAAACAACCGAGCGGAGAGAAAATATTTAGAATATACAAGAGAAGCGAAAGGCGAATATCGAGAAGGCTGACGAGAAACAAATCAAAGCTTGGAAGCCATTTGAAGTAGACGAAATATAAAGAACAAGAATGTCAAGACGAGAAACCTTGAAGAACAGAGAGGTGGAACCTCTGTGTGGAGGTCGAGGCGGTTACAGGAAAGACTTTATAATGAGGGGGCGAGTATAGTGAGTCTTACTTATAGCCAGATATAAGTAGTATATCAATAAGCGAATTCAGAAAAGTAATAGTATGTTTCAGACAGTGTAAAAAAAGTAATCGAAGAACAGCACTGTGAGACGAACGCTAGAAACACTGTGCAGAATCCAACCAGATATTGAATGTGGTGATATTCGACCAATGTGCAAATGAAACGTTAGAGATATGGTATACCGAATTTATGTATGTACAATGAGTTTGTCCAACAAAATCCTGACCGATAGCTGCCATCTTGACGTGGTGGTCGGCTTTGCATATCGCAATAACCCCACAAGCTACACTGACTGAGGCTATTGTTCCTGCAGGTCCTACCATTCCAGGAAGGTTGTTAGGATAGCGATTACACTAAAAGCAGTTACCGGTGAAGTGTAAGATCGTTTTCACACTATGCTGGGGGTCTGTGGACGAAGTCGTAAAGCTGGGGAACAGGGATGTAACAGCAGTGAGGTGTTTCCCACAGATGACCAGCATGCCAGCCAGTTATGCTGTATCTCCACTCTGGAGAGAGGGAGTTGGAAAAGGTCGACCCCAACAATTGTACATCCCGACTTACACCCACCTATGGTGGTCCGTAACCGGAGGTAAGTTTACTGATACGGAACCAATCTCAGAAATCGGTTCATAAAGGCCATGTGTGACCGACTGGCCTCAAGCAGTTGTCCCTTAGGCTCTGCGGTCACGCAACACTAACCCTCTTTGTGTTTCAGGTATCCGAAGAATCAATCGACTTCCACGGTGTGGGTAGCCGGGAAGTCACAACCCACCACACACTTCCAAAAGCACATGAAGCCTTCTTCTGTTCAAAAAACATTCCTCCGAGCCTCATCGGTCTTTTCTTTCTTACAGGAGTCT